GAGCTCTATGGGGTCAGCAACAGAGGGAGGCCCGGTCAGGAGCAGGGCTTACAATCCCCCCGGCCGGGTCTCGACATAGGCGCGCACACAGGAATTTCGCTATGGGGCCCTGTGATTTCTTGTTATGCCTGTATCCAGATATATTTTCATAATCGGTGCTGATAATTCAGTGGGGTGCAGGGCAAGAAAAACAGGCTCCCTTTAATGCAGCTTATGCATGTCTTCCATGCCGTTCAGCTCCCGGGATCAGAGGTAAAGTCTGGAGTTGCTGGACAGGACTATGGACTCCCAAGGGCAGTTCTGACATCTTGTAACTTCCAACCAAGAATTTCAGCTAAGAAATGGGCCAAACCATTGCTGCCACTGAAGAACTTTCAGTCTAATGTCTCTTTCACAGACACGCTCTAGGAAATATACATAGACACGGCGACAACAAACGATCTCACTGCAGGTAGTGCTTCTTATGAGAGTCAAACCTGGATCTCCAGTGCTGCAAGGCATTATTTCTAGCTCTAGCTCCATGATGCCCCTAGACATGGCATCATTGATTTGTGCCAGGTCAGGTCAAATTATATATGGGTAGCAGAAGATACGGGTTACATTTTTTTAGGCCATTGGCCATCATTTATTTATAGATTAGACTTGTGCTACTACTCACCTCAATAAACATTGACATGAACAATCGGGTGATGTAGCAATTCACTTCAACGCAAGACCATTGGTTAAACAATTGTTTAGGAGGGCAACAGTACCCACACATCTGACTATCAACTAGGGCCTAGACTAGACTAGCTTAAACTTAAAGTCAATGTCTGGTGCTACCTCAGTTTACTACATAAGGTTTGCCCATGCTAATATCTCATTCAGAATGTTTGTTCCCTGACTATCATGGTGACCCCTTTTGCTTCAATGAGAACATTGAGGTATAAGAAATGTAAGAAACCAGTATGTAATCCTTAGAGCGGCATTTAGACTTTATGCTGCCATAGGCATCTAGACCCCCAAATGATAACACCCATTTATAAAGCTCTGCCCTTTGTGTCATGTAATTGTTTTGGTAAAAAGTAATGCTGGAATGAGCAATTGAAGGCATCAAGGGGTCTGCTTTATATGCAAAGCTACGTTTCAGCTCTACAAACCACTAAACAGGAGGAAGGAGAAATGGTTTCAAGAACTTTAAAGGGTCTTCTGACTCCTTTAAAAAACCCCTGCATTCACTTCCCTCTCTATGGTTTTCTTGCTGAATTTAGCCACAAATGTCCAAACATAGCCACTAGACACCACTAAGGAAAAAGGTATCATAATATATATGTTTAGAGCAGTGGAGGTTTACAAACATTGAGCAGCTCTACCCTCTTGTCTCCAATGCCGCTGCTTGAATCTCGGTGCCTGCCAAAACCTCCGCCAAAACCTAGGCAATAGGTAAAAAACCGGCACTCGCAAGGGGATCCATCCATCCAGTACTTTATTTGCAAAAAGTCATAACAACAGCAAACAAACAAATGCTTACATTTTTCCCCCCCCCCCCCAAACTGGGCCTTAATCATAGCATTAATTTAGAGCAGTGGTGGTCAACATCCTTGATGTAGGGTGCCTCAAGTGTGGCCCCTGACATCCCTACAAGGCCCCAGGTAATTCTCAATGTTTGTAATGCTAGAGTAAATGGTATGAGAACCCTGGCATGCAAACATGCTGCAGACAAGAACTGGGTTCATTCATCAGGCTTCTTTCAGAGACAGGAGGCACATTAAAAGAGACTGCTAGAGTCACTACTGTTACAGTCCCCATAGAAATGAGTGCGCCATACAGTCCCCTGAAACAGTTTATGGTACCACAACTGATATACCTCTCAGCAAGCTCTGTTTTAAAAGGGATTCATTCATCATTGACCACCAATGTACCCTAAACTTCATTCACCATCGCTGTAAGGGGGCATTAAACTAATTGACAGTGTAAGGGGGCAACCAGTGTTCTGTGGAACCCATAGGGTTCCTCCAGAAGTTGTTAGAACAATGAGCAATGGGAGCTAGGGGTTTCTTGGATGAACAGTGAGCATTGTTCAATGAGCCTTGCGCAATGGAGTTCTTCTTCCAATGACCACCAATGTGAGAGAGCTTTACACTAACCGCCAGTCTGAGGGGGCACTTTTCCAATGACCACCAATCTAAAGGGGCGCTATACTGACCACCAATGTGAGAGGGTACTTTTCCAATGACCACCAATTTGAGGGGGCACTACACTGACCACCAATGTGAGGGGGCACTTTTCCACTGACCAGTAACATACAATTTTTATGGGAGAATTTATTTTCTGGCCATTATTATTATTATTATTATTATTTGTTTTAATACTCTACACTTTCCCCATTCTTTCATTAAAGGGGTTCTAAACCCTCCAGGTTTTTTTTGCATATATCTACTGCTAGCAAGCAGTAGATATATGCAAACAGTAAAAAAAAAACGCTTTAACAGCAGTTTAAACTTACCCCGTCTTCGCCGCATGCTCCCCTCCGAGAATCCGAAAGTGCTTGGGCGGTCGCAAAGCATCTTGGGGCGGGCGCATGCGCAGTTCGGATTTTTGGCCGGGAGACGAGCAGAGGCGCAAGGTAAGTCTATGAACGTGTGCACCCGCATGCAGACACCGCTGGATCGGAAGTGCCTGCAGTGCAAGGACAGAGGAGTCAGCGCTGGATCGGGGAGCCGCCGCACCGCTGGAGGGACAGTTGAAAACATCAGGAAAGTAGAAGATCAGATTAAGAAACATCATTTAAGGTAAGTGCTGACATTAACATTGGGGGAGGGAAAACATTTTTTGCCTTTTAATGTAACTTTAATTTTCATATTCACAACTTACTGTACAGTTCACGCTAATATCCCATGAGGTGTATATATGGTAATTACTGTCAGGGGTTCCCTGACACCTAAAAATAATTTCACGGGTTCCTTCGTGCTAAACAGGTTGAGAAAGACCGCTCTAAGCTGTGAGGTTCTACCATGCAGAACATTGCAGTGCCGGAGATATCTGTGTTATGTTCTATAACTCCGAATATCATCATATAATATCAGAAGTACATTTTACACACTACCTGAGCCAGTTTGTTTTGTACTTTGTATATTTATTTGCTGCCTTCCATCCTCTGCTGTTCTAATATTGAGCATTGCAGGAAGTCACATCACCGCTTGGTCTCTGTCTTTCCTGCTTTGGTTTCAGTTGACGTATCTGGCTGTGTAAACCGCACAGGAAGCTGCCCAAAGCTGAATGATCAGAGATGAAACCCCTGTGTTCTCAATTAGCTCATGCCGTTGTGATGAAAATCAGCACCTATTATTTTGTATTGTGAAGTGTTTCATTAACGAGAACTCAGATAAGATTTTTTTAAACTTAAAAGTAGTATTAAACTCTTAATCTCTTATTCAATAATGAATCCAGATCAAACAAATATACATTACCCTGCAAAGTGTTTCTTTACGTTTGCCCAAACACTTACGGCCGTCATGTTTCCAAACAGCTCCAACTCTCTCAGGTCAGATTCCCTGAACATACTGTGCAGTACACTATCACAAGGGACACCACAATCTCCAGCAGCCAGACCACCTACTAGTTTGGATAAAGGAAGAAGAAGGGGGATCACAAGGGAGATCTCAGTCACCAGCAGCCGTCCATCTACTAGCTTGGATTAAATGAGAAGGGAGATTACAAGGGAGAGCTCAGTCTCCAGTAACTGTCCATCTACTAGCTTGGATAAAGGAGGAAGGAGAAGGGGGATCACAAGGGAGAGCTCAGTCTCCAGCAGCTGTCCATCTACTAGCTTGGATAAAGGAGGAAGAAGAAGGGGGATCACAAGGGAGAGCTCAGTCTCCAGCAGCTGTCCATCTACTAGCTTGGATTAAAGGAGGAAGGAGAAGGGGGATCACAAGGGAGAGCTCAGTCTCCAGCAGCCGTCCATCTACTAGCTTGGATTAAAGGAGGAAAGAGAAGGGGGATCACAAGGGAGAGCACAGTCTCCAGCAGCTGTCCATCTACTAGTTGGAGAAGGGAGGAAGGAGAAGGGGGGACACAAGGGAGAGCTCAGTCTCCAGCAGCCATCCATCTACTAGCTTGGAGAAGGGAGGAAGGAGGATCAGAAGGGGAAGAGCACCATATGTAGCAGTTGTTCACCTACTAGCTTGGAGGAAGGAGAAGAAGGGAGCAGAGCGGAGGAAAGTGTCTTGCCTTGCCATGCCAGTGTGTTTGTGGAGACACATACAGCTTACTAGCACACACAAGGGTGGGTCCATAGGGAGACATTAGAGTGGCTCCCTGCAAGGAAAAGGAGCCACCCTAAAGCAGGATATCAGAGCCATTGCTCAAACGACCAGCTGTTTCTGCAGGAAACTAAAACTTTTAAACATCAAGAGACAGCATCCAATGTAAGTAATTTAATCAGCATTTCAAATAGTCTGAGAACATTTTGAGTTAAATATCACTTTAAAATGCCACCCCACACTGGGAATAGAAACATTTCTGGGAAGCCTTCTATTGCCATCATAGCCCAGGTTTAGAAGTTTGATTTTTTTTTTTTTTTCATTTGGCCCTGTGAATAGGACAAGCTGCCCTCGGAGTCACTCCATTGGGAGAATACCCAGGGCTGAGGAATCTTCTTGTCCCCATGTAACACAGGGCCAATCACCAAGCGCCAGTGCTGTCACATGTAATAAGATGCTACTTCTCTATACTTGCTCTGTTGCTGCTCTATGACTGTCTGGCCGGTGAGATGGCTGGAGGTGGAGAGAAGAAACCACTATATTCTTTAAATGTAACTCATATCACCCGCCTGGCTTTGCTATAGCTGTGTAATTCCCAATACTGGATGGAGAGAAATACAAATCCTTTGGCAGAAAAAAAAGCTCTTTTATATGCATTTCATGTTTGTATTTAGCTGATTGCATGTACTTTAGCTTTAACGTTTTCTTTACAGCTTAAGCTTTCTTAACGATCTCACTATATGCTTCGTTCAACAGATATGTCAAGGTGTCCTGCACTTGCTCAGAAGGAGACATTTTCGCTGCCCTGACAGTAGGAAATGGCCACAAAGCCAATGGATCTACTGACAGAACTTCAGCTCTTGGAGAAAGCATCCACTCTAGAGAGACTGCGTGCAGCAAAGAAACGGAGAGAACAGCAGTTGAAGAGGTGGGCACAAAATGAGAGGGAGGAAGAAAACAGAAGGCGACGGCAGCAGAAAGCCAGAAGGAAGACACCCACCAGGAGCAAAAGAGTTTCCTTTCCTTCACGAGTTACTCTCCATGAGGCCTGCCTGAGGAATGACCCAGAGGAAGGTGAACACAGTAACATGGGATAATAGATGAATAAGATATAAGGCAAAACTGGGGTTCGTTTATCAAAATGTCTTATGGATAAACTGTTAACATTTCCACACATGAACCAATCTGGTTAAAGCCTGCACTTCACAGGCTTTTTATATTTCCTGATCCAGGCTTTCTCCCTACCTCCCCAATGCAGCAACCCAGTCTGTCTAAGCTCCAGAATTGGTTGATGTTGGAGCTTTGGCAGAAGGATGATCTTGAACCCTTCACATGGCAGTGTTCAAGTCTGGATGGCTGCTCAGGCCTGAGCGCTATCACGTGGGGGAGGCCATCACACCCAGAAGCCCCTTTTCTTTAGCAAGGGCTCTGGTGGCAGGAAGGGGTTTGGAGGGTTATCTATCTGCTGACACTGTCACTTTGCACTGAGTTGATATTGTTGGAAATTCAGAGCTGTTCTGGGTCCTTTGCACACTTTATGTGTTATCTCAAAGAGCCTAATTAGCGCTCCCAGTTCTTATCTTGGCCTACAGAATAATTATTCTTTACGTTCTGGAGATGAGGAAAGGGGAAGGGATTTGGTAGTTTAGTAAATGACAGGGAGTCCACAAAATCTTGTGGGGTGTCAGCCACCAAGTGTATTTTGGCAGATCCACAGTTTTGTTTCTTTAGAGGGATAAACATACGGAAATTTGCATATATTAATTTTTTTTCTATTTTGCTCTGATATACACTTTGATGACCACTAGGGAGGGCTGGGAAATGGTTGAGGTAAAGCCAAGTTCAACTTATACAGGAAATTGTGAGATTTACATATAGCTTTGGCTGCTTATATCTGTGGATTTTGCTGATTATTGATTTATGGTTTTTCATGATGTACGATGCACTCAGGTTTATGAAAATGTTGCTTTAACTGAGCCAAACCTGATTGGCACAACATCCTAACTTAGTCACCTGTACGTGCTGTGAATGATGAAGTAGAGCTATGCTTGAACCCTAAAGCTTTACCTGTAGGAATACGAGCAAAACGGAGACACGTAATAAATAGTTTGATAACAGGTGGAGTTGAGTTGTGTCAAGATCAGTGTGTGTGTGATGAAGTTGAAGTACACTTTGATCAGTGGTAAGCTTGACAAGATGGAGTCGGTTCTTCGAGCTATAAAATTCTGTAGGGATTACATTTGCAAGTGATGTGGCTGAGCTATGTACAGTTCAGCGCTATAAATGATGAAGCTGCGATGTGCTTGGGTACTAGTGAGTTTGATGTGTGTAGGAATCAGTAGTCTGATTCATCACTGCCTTTGGTGGCATCACAGTGGGGTGTTTGATGCAATATGTTGAGTACACAGGTGCCCTTGCCATCATAAATGACCCTGTTATGAACTGAGCTGCAGCAGATTGAGATATTTCATTTGAAACCGAGCTACTTTAATGCTGGAATGCAACTAACATTTTCTAAGGATGAGATTTTTCCTTGAGCTTGTGAGATGCTGTAGGTCTGAATGGAAGATGACTTCATTGCAGGTGTTACATAATGAGATAGAAGCATACAGTATTTATTATAATGAGCTCCGATACAGTATTCTTATGCTTGCACTTATTTGCATTTGCTGGCATGCGTTTAATCTCTCCAGGCCGATAAAGCTTAGCACCACTGGGTGTAGAGGAGAGATGCAGGAACAAGGAATATGGATTTTTCGGCTAACATGCTTAACTGCAGGGCAACCAATGTGTAGAGCATGTATATGGCAGGGGAGAACTGTGAACCTTCAGGGGAGGATAGATTTCCGGTTGGGCTAAAAAAAAGTGTACCATGCCAAGTGGTTGGTGGTTAGGGGACATGGTGAAAGGTGGGTGTTCCTGTTCACATCTTCCAACACCAGCTTCCTCTTCTGCTCTCCCAGCATTCAGTTATATGACATCAAAGAGCCTCAAAGGAAGTGCTGGAGGACTTCTCTTTGCTCAATGCTGTGATCACAGGTCTGAATGGGGAGCAGGTTGCTATGTAATGCCCAGCATGAGCCAGTGACTGTAGGTCCTGCTCCAACTAATGTCTGAATTAAGAAGTCTCCCCAATTAGGGCCACCAGCCCACCGTACCTTATTAGTACTGGCCCGGGGTGCAAATTCCCCCAGCCCAGTCCTCTCCTCACACATGGTACAGTTGAGTAGGATCAAGCATGGCTGGTTTCCAAAGAGATTAATGACAAACCATTGACAAAATTTTCATTTTCTCTATCTGAAACTGGCATATGTTGTACAAATAGAAATGAGGTCCTATAAAAAAATGTTAGGGATGCTCAGTTTGATTGAGGTTCCTCTATGTAATGTCACAAAGGGTCAACATCCTATTCAGCCATATTGAACATCAGAAGGAACACTCCCACTGCATACATTTCTTAGTAGACTGGACTCTATTCAGTGAAATACAATATCTCTCTTTTTCATATGTGACTTACTGACACTTTAAGGTGGCTCCTTTTAAGGAACTTGTAGTAGTTTTATACTGCCAGGTTTTTACATAAAAGAGCTTACTGTATGACCTGCCAACACAATGACCTGATTTTGCTGCGATCAGTCTGCTCTGGTCATGGGCGGGCACCTGTAATGTTAGGTATATCCATCAGAGGAAAACCTGGCCAGTCACTAGCCAAGCCACCTCATTTATACCTGATGTAACTAACTATCAGTCCCTGCCATTGGTCAGAGCAGATGGACAATAGGAAGAACATAGGAAGAATATGGCTTTGCCCTGGCTTAACCAGCCAGTAGCCCCAGACTTAAGGGTAACTATGCTGTAAGCTTTTTTATGTTTATTTAAACCACTGAAAGTCAACCACGAGTGGGCTTATCACTATCAGCTAAGACTCAACAAAAACAGGGTACTCCTAATGAGGGAACCCAGAGTTGAAGATCCATGTCTTATGAGAGTGCCAAACCAAAGGTCCAGGAGTCTAAATCTTTTAACATTGGTATTGGTTCATAACAAGAAAACATATAACAGACGGTGGGGGGAATTTATCAAAGCAATTGTGACAGGTTTAGGCTTTTTTTTAAATCTGCAAATCTGTTTAGCTTGCTCCTTTTAACATGTGTGCCTGTTTTGACCAGAGCTTGCGCAATTTTCCTGAGTGCGCATGTTTTACACGTGTTTTGTTTCGCAACTGTTTACATCTGCACTTGTCCTGCACTTGTCCTGCACTTGTCCTGCACTTGTCCTGCAACTGTCCGAAACCCGGCGCATCAGCTTACAAAACAATTGCAACTTAAGAAGTCCCCATGACCACTTCTTCAAGACAGTTAGGGCTTGTTCACACCAAATGCATACCAGATCTGCATGAGTTTCTGCACATGCAGTGCAGTGTGTTTTGACACTTTCCGGGTCGTTTTTTTTTCTTTTAGCCTAAAATGAGCTTTCAGCGCCTTTGCATGCATTTTTGATGCGTTTGCATGCGTTTTGATGCATTCCAGAGCACAAAAAATAGGGCATGCTGCAGTTTTTCCACATGCTCTGGAACTGAATACTCTGGTGTGAACTAGAGCCCTAAATACCATTGGAATACATTGGATGCCGTTTTAATGCGTTCTGTAACTGATCTACTCTGCATTTGCTCCTCACTTGGTGTGAACTAGCTGTTAAGCTTTTTGCCTGGAGTTACGAGTCTTCTTTCCTGGAGTCTATTTAATCTCATTTATGAACAACATTGAACTAGCAACATAAATCTGGCGCACAGTGCGTCAAATATATTCCATGCAAGTTCAAACGCTTGCAATTGCTATGATAAATTCCCCCCAATGTGTTTTGGGGGCTTAATGGTTCACCTCTCTTGGTCAGTGCTTCAGGTATTGTAAATTGGAGGACTACAGTCACCAGAATACATTCTTTGTAGGTTGAATGTTAAAGTATGCCCAGGATCAGTGTATCAACAAAACGTTGGCTGTTTATGTTTCGTTCTTATGAACAATTACCAACAGTAAAAGATTTTGTACTCCTAGACCTTTGGTTTGGCACTCTCATTAAACTTTGCATACAAGTTTTTTATAGATGTCAGTGTCACCAGTACAGAAACTGATAGAAAATCAAAAATTGACAGTCGTTACCCAAACAGGAGGTGTAGGAAATTTTCTAGTGCAGACACGTGTTCCAGTGACAACTGTTTAAGAAGGGATTTCCACTCTCACTATGAATACCTCCTATTGTGTCTTCAGACTTTTTTTTCTGATGATACTAAGGTGTGTAATAGCGTTGAATTCCTGGAGGTGTTTGTTACATGCAACATGTTTTAGCATTGCTCAAATAGTTCAAAACAGTGGGAAGTATAGTATATTGTTTCTAAATGCAAAATAATGCACTTAGGAAAAAATAATCGTCTCAGAGTACAATATTGGGGGTGCCGTGTTGGCTTTAACTACTAAAGGAAATTTTTTTTTTTAGATAATTGCAAAAGTGCAAAGAGTGTGGACTGGCAGTGATGAAAGTGAATCAATTTCTGGGGTGCATCACCAGCAGGAAGGAGGTACTGATTCCCCTATATAGATCTTTAGTTATCCCTAGAGGAATCAACAGGTCCTGATTCCCCTATATAGATCTTTAGTTATCACTAGAGGGGCCACCCGCATGAGGAAGGAGGTCCTGATTCCCCTATATAGATCTTTATTTATCACAAGAGGGATTACCGGTCAGGAGGAAAGAGGTCCCGATTTCCCTATATAGATCTTTAGTTTTCACTAGAGGGATAACCGTCAGGAGGTCCTGATTCCCCTGTATAGATCTTTAGTTATCACTAGAGGGATCGCTGTCAGGAGGAAGGAAGTCCTGATTCCACTATATAGCTCTTTATTTAGACCTCATTTAGAATACTTTCTCCACTTTTAAAGACCTTATTTATACAACAATATTGATAATATGGAGTCCAGAAATAGGCAACAAAAATGGTGCATGCACTAAAGGGATAAAACATGTCAGGAGAGAGTGCAGGAACTTAAACCCTATCTCAAGGGGGAAAAAAAACTCCC